ACTGATGTACTATGACTGCTGTTCTTTGTAGTGGGGGTTTATTTATAGTTGCCACTCTAATATTTAAATTAGCATAGCTTAATCTGGAAGAGGAAAAGAATTTTTTTTTTCTTCAGAAAAATGCCTACAGTAAAAAAGTGGTCATTAATAGATTTCAGCAGTCTTAGATTGCTAAAACAGGTACCACCACCCATGTGCCCTGGATGATTGTAAACTATACAGAGAGAAGTTAACTGACACCTTTTTGCTATAAGAAAATTATAAAATGGTGAAATCTAAACTTGCCTGATTTAGCTCAGCAAAGTTATTTGGAAATTTGGTTATGTTTTGTCTGGAATTGCCTGGGTGGATGAATGATCATATGACTTTTTATTAGTGTATCTTGTGCTGTTAGTATAGACTGATCTGGTTGGTATATTAATGACCACTGTTTCTTATATACCCATTTTTCTGAAGAAATATGATTCATTTTTTCTCTTCTGGATTTTGGTTCTATCTACTGAGGCATTTGTGACCTACCTTAAGTGACAATGCACTCATAGTGCTAGAAAACGCTCAGGTAAAACAGTAAGTAGAAAATGGAGGGTAGATATCCTTCTGTAGTCGAAAATGGACAGTAGATATCCCACTATAATAGCACCAGGTTTTTTTTGGTTTTTTTTATCTGGTGATGGATGGATGGATTGAAACTAGTAAGACCATCTAGAACATGAAAGAGTCCAATTGTCTAAATAAAATCAATCTTTACAAAGTGATACAACAGTATATTGAAAAACTTTCTCACATCAACCACTGTCTACTTTCATCACGATATACCAAGGGTGCTGAAAATGGCAACTGAGTGGTATAATTTCCATTTTCTAAATGCAGCAAAAGTGGTAATAATTTTAGGGAGTTTTTAAAAATCACTTTTTTTTAATTCTTATATACTTAAATGTGATTTTATGTAACATTAAAAAAAAAAAAAAAGATGTGAAAAAAACTTTACTAAAGAAAATAATTTAAAAGGAAACTTTAAAAAGTATAACAAAATATTTCTTTAAATTTATTTTAGTATATTTTTAAGAATAGTAAAATGCATAATCCACCATCAGTCTATTATAACGCTACTATACTATTGCTCTTGTTATAACACACTCTTACTTATATAACATACTTTGTATAGGCATTCTCTATACATAATGCATAATCCATCATCAGTCTAGATGCGTATCTTTTTGTTTAGGTTTATCTGCAAAAAAAATTGTCATTGCAGCAAAGGTCTAGGTTTCCTACTTTTGGAGAAATAATATTTCTTCAGTAATCTTGATGAATTGCTGTTTTCAAATTTCATGGGTTTTTGGAGACAATTTTGAAATGCATTTTAAAAATCTCTGAAACAGCCAGATTGTTTTCCTATCTTTTGATAGCTGAAGTTCGAATAAAAATATTTCTCACCTTTTCAAAGTACTTTGTATATTTGTCAGTTCATTATCCAATAAATCATCACTTGTGACTTCATTAGAAAATTCTTCTTCACTGTTAGATTATAAATTTAAGCTTGATTGCCCACTTTCACAAAGATATTCAGTAAGCTTTTCATCAATAATAACCTGCTTTGCCATTTTGAAAAAGGGGAAAATTTTAAATTATTATAATACCACTATTTTATGGCTCTTGTTATAACACACCCTTATATAACGTACCTCATATAAGGATTCTCTATATATAATGCTTTAGCTATTCTACCATGACACCTGTATTTGTAAGCTTGAAGACTGACTCTAAACGGCTACCAGACTTACCTCTGACCTGGAGCTCTTTATAGTAATGGACTTGTTCATATAATCACCAGGAGTGTACGATTTACTCCACATCATAAATTAATTGCTCAAGCTTCATAGCTTCTGGTTACTGATTGGTTAGAGGAAGAAGTGATTATTGTTATCCTTGAAACATTACAAAATTTGGTAGCTTGCCCTTGACTTAGTCATCTTGGGTATGACAATAAACTACATCTGGCAGCAATGCCTCTGATCGGGAGATTGGAGGTTTGGAACCACCTCTTAATTGCTGCTGTTCCCACATCCATTCTGATCTGGGGTGATAGCACCTGTTAGGGTCTCAGCTATTTGCACCCTACCCCTACCTTCCAAACACCATCATGAAAGTATAAAAATAGATTTTTATAGTAAAAATACTAGCAATAAATTTTTGAAGAAAAAAAAAATTCCCAACAATGTTTGGCTCTTGGCAAAAAAAACAAACCCTCTTTACAAAAATACGTCAGTGAAACCTGATCTACAAATTGATTTCTTATAAAAAATACATATGAACTTATCTTAAAAATCTTGTTGGCTTTAAATAATCCATTGAGGTTGATAATCAGTAAAGGAAAATAAACCGAACCAAACTTTGACTCGGCTATAATTAATGCACATGTCAAAGGGTAAGAAAGATGTGGAGTGACAGTATTGCAAGAGGTGTGAAAGTTAAACCTCTTCTGGAGTTGGAGTCTATATATATATATAAAATATCCCTTATTGTTGGTGTCATTATGTTTTGGCTGTTGTGTCCTCTGAAACATGATAACAATAAGGACAACCGTCCAAATGTAAATAGTGTAAAGTCTGCTCTAAAACAATTATACATGTCCTTGTCACCTCTAAACAAAATGTTACTTTTTCATAAGTATTGTAATGTCATATTGGCATGGTGATGTACAATCTGATAAATACTATGATACAGAATTTTAAATATTTGGGAAGCGTGTTAACAGAACAGAAAGTGCAACACTGAGATCCAAGGATGTATTGGGATGGCCAAAGATGCCTTCAAGAAGCTAAGCAGATTATTAAGAGACAGGAAAATTTTGTTAGAAACTAAGAAGAGTATTGAACTGATATGTGATATCTGTCCTCCTGTATGGCAGCTGTGGTGAACAGTCCTGTAGAAGCAAACGAGCCAGAGTGGCTTGCATCTGGCGCATGGGAAAATAAGGGCACATGTCATCGGCAAGTTTGCTCTGTGAGGATGGCATTACTCTCCCATCTAGCAGTTCCAGCAGTATGTGCAGTAACAAGAGTTTTTATACAGTTTGGCATGCTTCAACCAATAGCAAGTCGTGTGCTGATTGGTTGAACAGGAGGAGGCTATTTACCTGAGTAACTGAGAATAAAAGCGAAGAACGCTCATTAGTTGGTCGATCACGGTGTCAGCCTGATAAAAGAGGGCTGAAGCAGTGAGAAGAGGGAAGACGGATTTATGTTTTGAAGTGTTGGGAAAGCAAGAATGGTGTATTGAACAAGTGGTATCTTGATTTGTACAAATGATGTCTTAGTAATAGTTTTAAACTACAGCTGCAAATGCTAGACAATCTCCTCAAAGATGAAAAAGAAGCTTGAAGCAACAAAGATGTAGTTCTACAGAAAGAAGCTGAAGATACCATGGACTGAACATGTGAGCAACAACAAGGTTTTGGAAACAAGAAGGAAGAAACAGTTGAAATTTCTGGGACACATAATGAGGAAAGAGGGCTTGGAAAACCTGATACTCACATGACAGATTGTAAGACAGTGGAAAGCAGTGTGTAACATACTTGATGAACTTGAGCAAATGTATGGTAGAACAGGGTTTGGGAGAAATAACAAAAAGACAAAACTTATTAAGAGATACAAGGAAGATGTGGTGAGCTATGATTTCTTATGTTCTAAAGGGACATGGTACCTAAAAGAAAGAAGATAGAATTTATTCTCTGCCAGCTATACCAATACCCTGATTCTTGGTTAATCAAAATAAAACTGAAATTTTCATCTTTTGCTACAAATTACTTATGTGTGATTGACAGAAATTTCCATTCTTTTTAATACTGCAAAAATAATTGTGAATCAGTTGACCATTTTATCAGCTCAAAGCATGAATGTTCTGCTGCCGGTTATGCTAAATATACTGGGAGCGATGGATAAATTGTCGTCTAAATTACACAAAAATGAAAATAATCCTGATATTTCACTTTAACAGATATATTTACCAAAATTACACAAAAATATCTTGAAATACAAGTAAATTTATTCAATAAAATCACCATTGGCTTCAACCACAACCACCAGATGACTTTGGAATCTCCTGCAATTCTTCTGGATGGGGAATGCTGCCATAATCTTTGTTTTCAGTTCATCTCTGGTTCTACAAGGACTTTTGTTGGTCTCTCGCTCAACTGCGTCCCACACATAATACTCAAGGGGGTTGCAGTCTGTGGAGTTAGATGGCCAGATGTAAGGGGTGATGTGATTACAGAAATTCTTCAAGAGCCATGACTGGGTTCTCTTGCTTGTGTGGCATGGTACAGTTCTGTTGCCAGACATAGGGTCTTCCAGCAGCTACCCTCTTGACCCAGGGCAGCACTACCTCCTCAAAGTACTTTATGTAGACCTCTGTGTTGAGTCTGAAGCCCTCACCAACAAATTTGGGAGTTCTTTTCTTATCAGAATGACCAGAGTGTTTTTCCACAATGCCGTACCTTCGTAATCACTATTAGACTCATCCAACTCTTTCCAAATCCTCTGCACTGTCCTCAGATTGACACCCAAACACACTGAAATATTTGTATTAGAGCTTCTGGCATAAATGCCAAACAGTATAGCATGCTGTTTCCAAATTTCTGGCAGAGTGAATTGTACCATGGTGCTCTTTTTCTCACACACAGTACCCAACTGACCCTACTATACTGTGCTGCTGACAAAATCAAATCAATGCATATGTACAAAATTAAAAAGTAAGTGAAGCAGGCAACCAAATGAAAGTGATTCTGTTTTTCATATTTTAAGATAAATAGCTCTTTTTAGCAATTTATTTATGATAATTGTTGATAAAAAAAAAGACTGGATTTTATTTGACTTAAAAAATGTAATATTAAATACACAAGTACATTTTTAGAAATTAAAAATAAATGTTTTCAAGTATCTCGCTCTTGTTTTAGTAAATGTATTCTCTCATTGTTATTGTAGGATGTGGTAAAAAGCATGAAAGTGTTGTTGGTTATCTCCCTTTCCGGAGTGAAGGTTTGCAGTAGTAAAGGGGAGGTAAGTCTATCTTATATTTTTTTCTTTTTCAATGATGAGTGAATATCTTCACAACACTCTAACTCACCTATTTATGTAACGAACAACAATGCATTATATTTAAAAAAAAAAAAAAAAAAAAAAAAAAACTATCTTGTGAGAAGAATTATTTTAAAGATTAATTGGTTAAAATTTTTAAAGCTACTTGTACATTTTTTTTTTAATATTTTGTATCTTCATATTGGAAAGTTAATCTATTATAAAAATAAATTACATCAATTTTATTAAATTTAACATCACTTAAAAAAAATAATGAGGTGTGGAAACTGGTGTAAAAAATTCTTTGGTTATGTAATCTAACATTTTGTTTATCAATAACTTTTTTTCAATTTATTCTATTTAGTTCAAAACAGAATAAAATAAGAAAAAATTCAACATAAAAAATAATTTGTCTGAATTTCTGGAATGAGGAGTTATCATTATTTACTCTATTTACATTCAGATGATTGCCTGTAAGTTATCCAGAGCAATAAATATCTGATGAAGGCCAAAGGGCACAATGACCAAAACATTTTGATAACAACAAAGATGAAGACAATAGTCTTAATGTAAATAGTATAAATTAAAAAAATTAGTCTCTATCTTTTTTCCTCCTTTTTTTCCTCTTTTTATCTTTCTCTTTTTTCTTCTCTTTTTTTTTCCTCTCTTTTTTCTTCTCTTTTTTTATCTTTCTTTTTTTCTTTCTCAATTTTTTTTCTTTTCCTCAATTTTCCTTCTTTTTTTTTTTCCTCAATTTTTCCTTCTTTTTTTTTCTCCTCAATTTTTCCTTCTTTTTTCTTTCTCCTCCCTTTTTTTTCTTTTTCTTTTTTTTCCTCAATTTTTCCTTTCTTTTTTCTTTCTCCTCAATTTTTTCCTTTTTTTTTTTCCTCAATTTTCCTTCTTTTTTCTTTTCCAATTTTTCCTTCTTTTTTTTTCTCCTCAATTTTTCCTTCCTTTTCCTCAATTTTTTTCTCTTTTTTCTTTCTCCTCAATTTTTTTCTCTTTTTTTTTTCTTTTCAATTTTCCTTCTTTTTCTTTCTCCTCAATTTTTTTTCCTTCTCCTCAATTTTTCTTTTCTTTTTTCCTTCCTCAATTTTCCTTCTCTTTTTTTCTTTCTCCTCAATTTTTCCTTCTCTTTTTTTCTTTCTCCTCAATTTTTCCTTCTCTTTTTTTCTTTCTCCTCAATTTTTCCTTCTCTTTTTTTCTTTCTCCTCAATTTTTCCTTCTCTTTTTTTTCTTTCTTCCTTCTCTTTTTTTCTTTCTCCTCAATTTTTTCCTTCTCAATTTTTCCTTTTTTTTTTCCTCAATTTTTCCTTCTCTTTTTCTTTTCTCCTCAATTTTCCTTTCTTTTTCTTTCTCCTCAATTTTTTCTCTTTTTTTCTCTCCTCAATTTTTCCTTCTTTTTTCTTTCTCCTCAATTTTTTCTTTTTTCTTTCTCTCAATTTTTTTTCTTTTTCTTTCTCTCAATTTTCCTTCTCTTTTTTTTTTCTCCTCAATTTTTCCTTCTCTTTTCTTTTCTCCTCAATTTTTTTTTTCTTTTCCTCAATTTTTCAATTTTTTCTTTCTCCTTTTTCCTTCTCTTTTTTTTTTCTCCTCAATTTTTCCTTCTCAATTTTTCAATTTTTCTCTTTTTTCTTTTTTTTCCTTTTCTTTTTCTTTCTCCTCAATTTTTCTTTCTCCTCAATTTTTCCTTTCTTTTTTCTTTTTCAATTCCTCAATTTTTTTCTTTTTTCTTTCTCCTCAATTTTTTCCTTTTTTCTTTTTTTTTTTTTTTCTCCTCAATTTTTTCCTTCTTTTTCTTTTTTCCTTCAATTTTCCTTCTCTTTTTTCTTTCTCCTCAATTTTCCTTCTCTTTTTTCTTTTCCTCTTTTTTCCTTCTTTTTCTTTTTTTTCTTTCTTCCTTCTCTTTTTTTCTTTCTTCCTTCTCTTTTTTTCTTTCTTCCTTCTCTTTTTTTCTTTCTTCCTTCTCTTTTTTTCTTTCTTTCAATTTTTCCTTCTTTTTTTCTTCTTTTCTCTTTTTTCTTTCTTTTTTCTTTTCTCCTCAATTTTCCTTCTTTTTCTTTCTTCCTTCTTTTTTTTTTCTTTCCTTCCTTTTTCTTTCTTCCTTCTCTTTTTTTCTTTCTTCCTTCTCTTTTTTTCTTTCTTCCTTCTCTTTTTTTCTTTCTTCCTTTATTTCTATATATTATGTATTCTTTCTTCCAGAGTGTTTATATGGCACATGCATTGAAGAGAATCTCTTTTGCAACCTGTGACCCAGAATATCGCCAATTTTCCTTCCTTGCTCGTGAACCCAAGGGACAGATCAATGTGCAATTTTGCCATGCCTTCATTACTCGGAATTCTCCAGAGGTGAGTTAAAGGCAAGGCTTGTCTTTTTATGGAATTTTTATGTTTAGTCTATGAAAAGCAGTTTGTTATTTTCTTTGTTCATTTTTCTGCCATAAGATCTGAACTGATCTCTTTGAAAGGACTCATTGAGACTATCATTCGAAATATTTTGCATGTAATAAAATGAGTCTGAATTTCATAACTATTGATTGGATGGATGAAATAGTGACTTGTTTTACACTGATTAAATAGGGAAATAGTGACACTGATTAAATTGGGAATGAGTAAGAAACACTATAAATTTAACATTTTACAGTTTCTGATGAAGCTAAATAATGTGGGATTATATGGAATTGTTTTGATTTTTAAATTTTTTATGTTTTTGTTTTATTCATTGTGTAGATCACACACTTAACGATGTAATTTTTATACTGGTAGTTCTTTAACTTTTTTCTTTTTGTATTGGTAATAGGATTTATATTTGCGTGTAATATTTTAAATTCTAAATTCAGAAAATTTGCTTTGTGGATTAGCCCTAAATCCCTCTGCTCTCCACGTAGAATAAAATGCACACAACAAAACCTTACGAAGCACATTACATTAAGTGAGAGGTATTTCCAGATTTATACTAGGAAATAATTTTTCTGTAAATTAATCCCCCTTTTAATTCAAGGGGAGATAATTTTTGTTTGTCGCCTTTAACTGGTTTACTTTTAATTGTACGTTGGTTATTTTGAAGGTTTTTTTTTTTTTTTTTTAAAAAAAAATTTCAGCATTTTAAGTAATATCGGTTTTTTTTATCCACAAGATGTTTTGGAAGAATTTTGGGCTGCATCGTGTTGCTGTTTATATTGAAATGTTTTATCTTTAAAAAAAAAAAACTATACGGTTTCATTTGAGAATCATGGCTGTAATTTTGTTAAAATGTTTGTTTTGAAAACAAAATCGATTATTCTTGAAAAATTAGGATCATAATCTGTTATGAAAAAAAGAAATTTATGTGTATGGACATGTAAACAACTTTTGTCAAACTTGGATCTTTGTGCCTGCAAAAAAAAAATGTTTCAAAAGAATGTTTTTTTTTTTTTTGGTTTTTTTCCCCTTGACACTGTTATTATTTTCACTACCGTTTACTCCTTGGCAATGTTTGTTTCAAAAAGCAATGATTAGACTTGTAATAAAACCTAAACATATGATTAGAGTGAATTTATAATTTTTTTTATTCTTGAGAATTTATAACAAAAATATTAAACACTATTAGATTGTTTAGTAATAATTTTGTATGCCATTCTTAAAAGTAACACAATGCAATTACACTTACATTATTCGGACTGTTGTCCTCATCTTTGTTGCCATATTCATGTCGTTTCGACTGTTTTATGCTCTGACCTTCTTCAGGTGATTGGAATTTCAAAGGGAACCCTTTATTTTGTCCATTGGAGTTCAGTTTGAAATGTTATGAATATGGCAACAAAGATGAGGACAACAGTCCAAAAAATGTAAATAGTGTAAATAATTACAAAACCTCATCTCAGAAATATAGACAGATATTAATGCAATGCAATATTTATCATTTACTGATTCATAAGGAAATATGAAAACAATTTTTTTTATTCATAAATTTATAAACATTTACTAGCATAATAAAAATATATGAACCAACCAACTAGAAGAAAATCATTATTTAACATTTTATAAAGTTTGAATCAATTGACAATTAGCCAATGTTTTGCTAACCATCACAATAAACAATATAATAGTGTAAATAAACAATCTAATAAATAAATATTGTTTATTATTTTTATTGTCAATTCTCAAGAACAAAGAAAATGTATATTCACTTTTATATGTTTAGGTTTTATTAAAATTCTAATCATTGCTTTTTAAACAAAAAACATTGCTGAGGAGTAAAGGTAGTTATAATAGCAGTGTCAAGGGAAAGCTGTCTGTTTGACACCTTTTTTTTTTTTTTTTTTTTTTTTCTTTTCTTTTCTTTTTTCTTTTCTTTTTAGGCACGAAGGTCTAAAATTGCTAAAATTGGCCAACTTTGTTTACCAGACCTTTTCCAATTCAGAATAATATTTGATTATATACAAATGTTACTTTAGGTTAATAATAGCAATAATAATAATACCTATCAAAACAAATTAAACTCTAGTAATTTTTATGCATTTCAAGGTGAGAAGTTTATTATAAAGATTGCAACTTAAATTTGGAAAGAAATTCTCTTGCAATGAGGTTCCCATTTAAATTTTTTAAAAAAATGCCTGGTATTGAATATTTTGTGATATAAAATCATATTTATAGAAGAGAAAATGTATGCATTGAAGACAATAAAGGAAGTTTGTGTGTGTGATTCTGACACAGATTTGTGTCAAAAAGTATTTTGAGTAATGGAATGCTTCATAAAGTGATTTTTTTTTTTTTTATTGTCCCATGACTCATAGGGGTATTATGCGTACTACAGCTGCAGTAGAAGTAGTGTTTCTTGGGGAAGATAGACTGACAGAGCCCAACCCTCTCTAGGCTGGTTTTGAATTCAGTTTTTTCTTCTCCTAGACTGGTTGCCACTCAGTTATAGAACCCAGTCTGTCCTATTTACCAATAGTTGGTGGGAAAAGAAGAGGATCCATACTTTTCCCAAGGGTATTAACACATGAGTGAATATAATGGATCCAACTGGAATTTGAGCTGCTATCCATTATTCCACTGTGCTTCCCACACACAGAAACTGTTTTAAAAACAGTTTAAACTGATTTAAAAGCAGCAAAAATAATTTTTTAGTTCCATTTTTTAACAGTTGTGGAAGCCTCTCAGATTCTATATATTTAGAAATATGAGAATAGATAAAATATATGCCAGAACAGTTATTTTAATTTAGTGGTTAGTGAGTTTTGGCAAATTATTTACATTTGAACTAATGTCCTCAGTTTTGTTATAACATTTCAGCAGATATTATGTATGCAGGGTAGCTGTTATTCTGAAGGGTATGTTTGATGCTCTGTTTTTGGTATATATCTGGGTCACTCCTTACAATTTTTGCATGATGTAGGTATTGTGTAATCCCTTTTTTTTATATATAAAAAAATCAGCTGGCCTACTTATAACTCACACAGAGAAGCCAACCTTCAATAAACAATACCTTAACTTCAATTCTTATCATCTATACAGTGTGATGATATGATGCCTAAAACACAGTGCAAAAATCAAGTGGCAACTCAGACATGTGCCAATAGGAAATGATTAGCATAAAAGCATACCTTTCAGAAGAATAATTACCCTGCAAGTGTAACATCAGGATTCGGGTCCATACAACATCATGGCAATATTCAGAAGTAGCTTGAATTTATGCAAAAGTCTCTGCTTAGTCAAGCTTAACAGAAGAGGACATGACAAAGAGTTGTGTATTCTATTCTTGTAGTTATGACAAAAAATACAAAGGTGAAACCAGCCACCTTTTAAAAATAAGGCTGGACAAACAATGAAAAATCATAATTAGTGGTGATACAATGAAATCAGACATGGCTGATCATGTATGAAAAGAATGATTACCAATCTCTATGGGATGAAGTAAAAATACGAGACAAAGACTGGATAGTCAGATGTCTGAAGGAATCAGTACATATGCTAAGCTCTTTAGATATAACTACCATGCTAAAGTTGTTAATAAAGAGAATGACAGCAAAGCTTCTGTAGCTACAGTAAGAAAAGAAGTTGATATGAATGCAATTTAAGTGTGACAGCACCAAGGAGAAAAGAAAGCTCTAAGTCCTTGGTTCAGTATTGTCCCAATAACCTAATCGATTAATGTGTTGGTTAATGAATTTAGTCACCTTGTAATTGTGAGTTCAATTCTTGGGCTAGGTCAAGGGTCAGCAACCTGCGGGCCAGATCTGGCTCACGAAGGCATTTTGACCGGCCCGCGAGCCTGATTACCAATGACTCTATTTTTAACATGAGAGACGACCTTCAAATGAAATTTATTATGTCATTTTCCATAGAATGTCTACACATCTCAGTGCACTAAAAATATTAGACTATCTGCCAGTTATCTTTCATGAGACTTATTTTACCAAGTTGCGTTGCCTACGTTTAAATGTCAAATAATGGATACATATTTGTTATGACCCTTGGCTACATTAAAAGATAACAGAAGCGAAAGGAATAATAAAGTGAAAGAGACCAGGGAGGGACTAACATGCAAGGTAGCAGAAATCTAATGACAGTTAAACATATGTGCATTATACATACATGTCTCATAAATGTGTGGATGATACTGCATGTGTACATATGTAAGTGTATATGTTTGCAACTATTTGTACTCGTATGTATGGGTATATGTGCTTCGTTTTTGTTTGATGTGTGTGTGTGTGTGTGTGTGTGTGGTTCATTTATGGAACAATTTTCAATCACGGTTTCAAACCTACACGTCATAATTTCATCCATTTCACTTCGGTTGATTTTTTTCACTTTGAAGTATTTTGACGTTCCTTGAAAAGTAATTTTTGTTTGGTGTTTTTTAATTTTAGATTTTCTTTTGTTTTTCTGATTTCTCAATGTTTATTTTCATTATGGTTTTAAATATTTAGGTTGACAGGGGTCTGCATATGTAATTTTCCTTAATTTTTCATTAATGGCATTCATCCAGCCCGCCACCCGTCATTATAACATGATCCGGCCCGCGGGGTCGAATGAGTTGCCGACCCCTGGGCTAGGTAATACAGACTTAGATGCAGTGGAAACAGGGTGAGCAATACTAAAAATAAGAACTAGACAAGATCTCTCTAGACATTGGCAGTGGAACAATAACAGTCACCCCCACCCCATAGATTAAATAAAAGGTTTAGTTCAAAATTCCCTGAAGATTGTCTAGCTTGAATATACAATGTTGGCAAGTTTTTATAATTTAATCTAGTTGTAAGAAGTTAATTGTTCATTGTACTAGATTTTTTTTTTCAAGAGATTTAAGCCTTTGTTAACAGGTATAGTAAGTGTAGAGGGATTTATTATCTAAACAAGTC